CTTTCAATTCTGATCTGTCTCTTACTTCTACGCTGGTGGCTATGTTCCTTGTGATCGCCGTTTGTTGTGTGTATGCTTCTGCCATTGCTCGTTGCAACTGGATCTGCCCCTGTGCTAGGGCTTGCATCATCTGTGCAAATTGTTGTGCCATGTCTGTGGCTTGTGGTGCCTGTGCTCCTGGCTGTTGCGCCATGTTGACTTGCTAGCCAGGGATTGAAGCAATCCGGCTTTCCTGCAAGTGATGCTTGTTTTTGTAGGTTTCCGGTGCCAGAGCCGATGCGGCTCGGCAACCTTTGATTCGCAGACGGTAGCCGGGTCTTAGAACCGCGGCTCCGCTACCATGAACGGAGAATTTAGGCTCTTAAACTCAGTGACGTAGGGTCACAGTCCCAAAGGTTGTAGTTGAAGCTTAGGCACACTTTTAGCTCAAACTTGAACAAACGGATTGAACAAACGGCTGCAGTGAAACATACATCTATACAAGCTATGTCATGTACATGCCACTGGTGCTACATCTGATCACAAATCATGTGCCACAATCACATAACCCACAAAAAACTGACGATTTTGTAATGGCTCTTTCGTTATAGTTTTGTTATACACTGTATTTTTTTCAGGTCTTGACCTCGTCTTTTTTGGACAAAGGGCCCCACTGACACCTAACAAGCCTCTACAAAATCAAAGATCCTGCTTTATATAACATGGACACTGTTTACAAAATCAGAGGCGCCAGGAGCGCATCCAGTGGCCCCTGTCCAGAATCAGGGACCCCATGCTCGATGTCCTTGTTCCAGGTGTGGCAGGTTTGGTGATCGAGAGTGCAAAGGCACATGGACCAGGTTTGGGGCTGCGCAGTCTTCATCTCGTTTCTGGGTTGGAGTCATTGTTTAGGACTGTCCGCATAGAAAGGAGACTCCCCAGAAGTTCTCAGTCTCATTGTTTGGTTTAATTGCGACAGGTGCGGGAACTTTTTGTGGCGAAGAAGGTGAAGCAAGAGCTTCAGACAGAAGGCGTCGAAGTTTGGGGGCTCAAGGGGTGTTTTTGGTGAAGACGTTTTGTATCGTTTTGTGCATTCAGGGGTCACCATCATTGATAATTACATAGTGATACCGATACCTGAAAGGACCCAGCTGGCGGCTACGGTTACAGACAGCGAGAAAGCCAAAAAAACATATACCGATACCCTTGAGATATTTTGAGATCCTTTTAGATTATTTTAAAGATTCTTTTGTGTTGTGAATTTTCGGCAGGGTTGAGAGGCAGTGGAAACCATGCACGACCATGCACATGCAAAGGACAGGGGTACCTGCGACAGGTGTGGAAACATCTCCGGCAAAGAAGGTGAAGCAAGAGCTTCAAACAGAAGGCATCGAAGCTTGGGGGTTCAAGAGGCGTTTGGGGAGATGTTGTGAGACTTTGGATTTAGTGAAGTGACGCTTTGTTTTTTTGAGACTATTTGTATTTGTTTGTTTACAAGCGACAGGTAGGGGAATTTCAGCAGCAAAGAAGGCTTAGAGCGTAGCGTTTGGCACAGATTTCAATCAGAGTTTGGAAATGCCAAACGCATAAATTATATAACAACAAGACCAGCAAAAAACACACACAAGTTATATAACAAAATATGACGAGAAAGGTCAACTACCCCGTTCTCTCAACCAGTCAAACTGTTACAAAATCAAGATCAAAAGTCAACCATGGCATTTGTATAGAATCAACACCCCCACCATCAAATCTGCATAAAATCAACCACCCCATCTTCACAAGTGTGACATAGTGTGACCATACCCCTTCCACAGGCACAAAATGACTCTTTACATAATCAACCCCCCCCTAGATCAAATAGCCGCATTACAAATTAGTGACCCTCATCTTTCGTAAAAATGATCATTTTCTGGCCAACAAAAAAATCAATCACTACAGTATCGGAGGGATTTTGGTATCCCAAGCAGCTTAATTCTGTATTGGATATCTGCACGGGGATGGAAAACACCTTAAGCAAAAGCAGGGTGATCATTGTCGTCACCAGTGCCCAAACGCCTCACATCACTGCCGAACACGAAAGCACTGCTCCTGCAGGCAACGAGACATTGCAACGAACTTGCATGGGTGACGAACTTACATGGGTGGTGAACCTTTGGGCCAATTCTGCACGATACAATAAGTATCGATAAGTGAGGACATGACTCTTCCCATAGCCCACCATCGGTGCTCCTGCCTGGGCCAGAAATGCTGTTGGTACTGAACAAGTCGCCAACGTCTTGAGGCTGGGTTCTGGTTTGCTCTAAGAGTTGGAGGAGAGCTGACCACCAATCAGACGCAGCTTTCTTCCATGTCCTCTGATGCCTTGCGGGCATCAGAAGGTGCTTCAGCCACGCCGAGGATGCAGTCCTGAAGGTCTTGTAGACAAAGCCATCTCTATAAAGCTCGCCATCCACGACATAGAAGTGCTTCCAGCCTTATTCCAAAAGGAGAACGAAGGGCAACCACGTCTGCTCTTCTGAGTCTTCACACGTCTCAATATTCAGATCTTCTGTGCTGCCTGTGCTCAGATTGAGGGAGCGCTTACAAACTCGATATGTATGATTGAGTGTGCAGGTATATACATATTAACTTTCATGTGCAGGTATTAAGTTCATATATATATACTATATATAAATATATGAATATATACATATAACATTCATACACACATACTATCACATACTGACATGCCCCTTGCCTGTCGCCACAAAGGTGTTCACACACACACACCAAGTATAAAGAATGGAACCCTGTCACCACATTCAGTGGTGGTTGTGGTAGTGGTCTTCATGTCCTGTCTATATAAAGTAGGTATAAAGTAGTCAGAAGGACAACTTACGGATTCTTAAGATGGCTTGAGAGTTCTCCTGCAGGCTGTTTCTGTTTGAGGACGCCCTGTAGGTAGGTCTAGACTTGGCCAGCCCTCAGTGATACTGAATGAGATGGTCGAGAGTCAACCTTGAACTTCAAGGTTGGATTCTCATAATTCATGTGGCTGTGGGTCAACCAACCCGGAGCCATAAACCCTGGTAGGTTGACCATATCTAGCAGTCTATGTTCATGTTCAGTGGAGAAAAAAAGCCTTTTACAGTAGGTGTCCCAGTTTTGACCCGCCCCTTCTTCCATGGCAAAAACGATCACCTGTTGGGGACGGCATACGGCCTACCACTTGAAAAACCCTGAAAAACCTAGCTGACTGAAACCCTCCCACACACACACACATCCTCCCATTCCCCTCATCAGCCCTTAAGTTCAACAACCTGCGTTGTGTGGTAACGGCTCATTGTGGGTCCACCATTCGTTTCGGACACCCGAACCGACCTGAGTCAAACAGAGCCAATGGCAGATCCAAGTGGCCCTGGTTCGTTCGTCGCGGCTCGACATTCACGACGACCTTGGGCATTTGCTGACGTGGATGAATCTGGAGAACATCTTCACCACGTTCTGTTGTTTTTTCTTCAACTGATGTCTGATTGGACAGACCCAACACCAAAAGAAAACAGGCACCAAAAATCATCTAGATCTGAGATGTCCATATTGGAAGTGATTGTGGACTTCCAGGTGCCCCTACGGGAGTGCTACAAGCGGTCTGGGAAAATTGCACCTGTTCCAATGAGCATTTCATGGAATGTCCAATCCAAGCCCACCAGTTATGGAATGGTACTTACATTAGGGATCATTAGGGTCATAAATTGGGTAAATGATTGTAAGTGTAGTAATTAACTGATTATTCCAAACATGGATGACACGAAAATCAAAGGACCAAACCTGCAGAAACACCGGCCCTTGCACGCCCAAGCGACTTGTCCAGTTGCCTCCACATCCCCCTTGTGAAACCACTTGGGCGGGAAGATCTTCTTGTTGTTCTGAGCCAGCGGGGCATGTTCGGGCGAGCGGCGGTGGGCAGGTGTGACCACCCAAAACCAAGCGGGAGATGCTGCATCCATCGCTAGATTGAAGACCGGGCCTCTTGCAACTGGTGCGAGCATGCGGGAAACGGGGTGGAACGAAAGAAACAATCAAGTCATTTTTCTGCCTCAGCAGGTAGAAAAAGGCCCGTGGAAAAGCAAGGGCATGAGAACCACATGTTAATAGTCTAGTTAGTAGAACACTCGCAGAATGGAGCAGGATGCCTTTCTAGTTCGTCGATCCTCCCATCACCCCGTCCGATACGTCGCCACGAAAAAAGAACCAACCTCCAATCACAACAAAGAAGAAACTCGTTCCAGCGACCTTTCGTTCCACCGCATCGACATGCTTCCGCCTTGGCGACTTGACCTCCTGACATCCTGGGTTTGATCTTCAAGGTGTGAGAGTCGTCATCGATCTCCGCCACCTGGCGCGAAGTGAAAGTGATCGGATGGGAGGAACCACACCACTAAACCACCAAGCGGTGTGGCGGCCAGGGGCAGAACATATTGGGCAAAATGCCAACGTGCCCAACCTCCACCAATTCGGGCTTTTGGGGCATCCCACACCGCGCTTCATATCCATGAGTTCACCCTGGGCCGATCCCGGTCGGCCCAAAGCCATCGCTGCAGACAGTCCAGGATCATTCAATGGGTGTCCGATGGGGGTCCACATCATATGTAGTACAGGGTATAGTCGGTATAGTCGGTATAGTCTATGGCTGACCGGACGATCCAGGGTGGTTTGGACGGCAGCTTCGGCCGAACGCTTCGGCTGTGCCTGTGCCAAATCGCCGCGGTAGGGGCCCCTCTTGAGCCTGACCCAGTCACCTGACATCCAGTCGCAGCACTCAACCCTTCCATGGCGCCATAAACTGACTTCCTCGGCATTTATGTAGACTCTTGATTAAACCACCCCCATACAATAGGAAGAGGTTTTACCATGTTTTACCTTTAAAGAAAGGTTGATTTCTTTTTATATAAATGAGTCTTGAGTCAAGAGTGCACAGTTTATACTGACTACTGTAAGCAATCCAACTATCCTCCTGTGCACTGCGCTTCTTTCAGTTCGAAGGGAACTTCAAACCCATCGCTCTCAATCGGCACACAGATCAACACCCCGACACGACAGCACGGGCCGCCGCCCCCGCCGGTCTCAGCCACTGGCCTTGCTGAATGACCTTGACCTTCTGCGCATGCGCTACGGCCGCCGAAAAGACGCCGGCCATCTGATCCAGCGGCACCAAGGAGAGCCCGGTGTACTGGGACACGCCGTTGATGCCCTTCGTGAACCTCGACTCACCAGTCCGTCGGTCCGAGTGGCGTGGCGTGTGGAGAGCTTTGAAGCCTGTCCAGGTGCTAAGACGGTCTACTAAGACGGTGACCAAAGACTCGATTCATCTCGATTCTATGCCTCTTAAGTCGCTTGGAAACAGACTCCCCGAATCTCCCCCGGCATGTTCCGAGAGCATCAGCTATAATGGTTTGGTGGGAATCCATCCACTGGGCAGTGCCGTTTTGACGCATGAGATGTCGTGATCCGGGGGGGCTTTTCTTCAATCAAAGACCCGCCACGGTCTACAGATGTCTACAGTCTCCTACAACATCGCAAACCACGATTGCTTCATTGCTGAAGATGATGGCTTGCTGACATGATGATGGCGTAAGCTACTGACCAGGTAAACAGGTGCAACTCAAGGTGGCCGGGTTCCTTCCCAAAATGAACCCCCCTCGACGTCTTGACTTCCTCAGAGTCTCCTGCCCGGCCTGCGCACATCGGCCTCTCGATGTGCCTCCAGGTAGATGTAGCCCTTGACATACGGCACATGGAAGACCTGAGAACGTCATTTGGGACTGACTGGGACCCTTGATGGAGTAGATCTACGACAATCTATTTATGTATTTGCACCCGGAAAAGAGACTGGCGAAGTCACATGAAGTCACACTGCTGGCAGTGGAAGTGCTTTTCAGGACGACCAGGCCTGCGCCCCTCCAAATGCAGGAATCGAGAGGTTTATTTCGGTGTGTTTCTCACTTTCTCTGACAAGTCTTCAGGTTTACGAACCCTCCATCAAGGTCTGGCATCCCTCTCTTCCCCAGCTGCTGCGTGCGCCGCGGTGCGCAGCGCCATGCCGCCGAGGAGCCGAGTAGACGGGCACCGTTTGTCCGGACTTGAGTTCTTCGAAGGCCTTCCACATGAGCTTGATGCAAAGCTCCTCCACTGTGAAAAGCACGGGAGATGAGCAGAGCAGTGCGGTGTTGCGGTGCAGTTTGGTGGGTGAAAGTCTGGCCACCTGTGAAGACATGGACTCCTCGGACCCCAAGGTCAGTGATTGAGTAGTGGACCCCTGACCAGTCTAAGACATCGAACGGGGTACCAGTGCCATCGGCACTGCTTTTCATCCGAAGGCGACGCGGAAGGCTAGGGGTACTCTTGGCACAGCAAAGGAGCAGAAGGGTCCTTCTCTCCCGCTGCTGTTCGGTGTTCATGGAAAACAACACGCTGCCACACACTAGGCCACCAGTTCAACATGTTCATTGCCATCCATTGCCATGCTTATGCCTCTCTCGCTAGGTATCAGCTATTTATTTATAGCACATCAAGTTTTCGACATTCCTCCTGGTGGCTTTTGAGAGTCCCCAGCTGCCACGTCGGACCCGCCGGTCTCCCCTCCGGTCTCCCCGCAACGCCTGCTCGTTTCCGAAGGTCTTCAAGCACCAAAGCCTGTGAAAGGGTTGGGCTTCGCCCCAAAATGCGCCCTCCAACACTAGAGGTTGAGGGGAGCATTGCAGTCTAAGCACCTCTTCACAAATCCTGTACCTGTTTCTGTTTCATCGGTCGCTCGCCTTCCTAGCCACCTGGGCAAGGCCGGCCTTTCTAAACACGGGCATCCTGGAACAAGCACAAGCCAAACTGCTGGCCAAATGAGCAACCAGTTCCTTGCAGTTTCCATGGATCTCGACCTGATATCCACCCCTTCGACAAGAAAGCTCCGAGTTGTGCAAATGTACATAATGCACCTTCTGCTTCTGAAAAAGCTTTGGTGCCGCACACAGGTAATAAATCGAAACAGCACTCAAACCAAATTACTGAAGGGAATTCATGCACTTTCTATATTGGTATATATATATATATCGATCATATATATATATATATATATATCCATGTCACTCTCTACCATTTCCCGTGTTACTCCACAGCTGCCGCTGTCCCATAAGCCTCGGATCTTTGTCTTCAGGCACCGTCACGGTCTGCTTCACCGCCTCCAAGGGAACCTGCAACTGGGAGATGTCTTCCCCGCGCTTGGCACGGTCTTCCATCTCCTCGACGTTGTGGCGGATGATCGGCGGATGACCGGAGGATGAATTGTGGATGTCTCCCATCCAGGATCGCGAAAAACGCGTGGTTTGGGGGGGCTCGGGTTCTTGTCTCCCGGCGATCCGGGAGAGCCAGGTAAAAAAAGATGTGGACTTTTGTGTGGTTTCGTGGCGGGTTCCGGATTGCATCAAATGTCCTGTCAACAGCTTTGGGGACAGGTGGAGGTGAGGTGGGAACAGCCAAAACTGCTCAAAACCTGATCGATAGGTTTTGGTGAGCAAACATCGAGCATCATTGAGCAAATGTCGCCACCAAGCAATGTGGGCAACACTGGGCAAGGAACATTGTATAGCACAGCCAGGCGAAAAACATCATCGACTTATGACTATATATATATGCTACATATACACACTGTATTTATATATATAGTTCTATATATATATATATATTTGTGATCTATATGCATGAACTGCAATCCTCAATCAAGATAATCATAGATAATCAAGTCTCATGTAAATTCATCAACTCAACTCCAAGTCCATGAAGGATCAGCTCAGGCTATCCCGGGCCATGCTTCGCCCCTTCACCCCTTCCGTTCTCTCCTGGTAGCGTTGTTCCATTTCATCGAGCCGTTGAGAACTAAAGAGCCGCGCTGCACCTGCCAAAGGGCCACGTGCTGCCAAATCCTCCTTCAGCTCCTGCCGATCGTTCGGGAGCTAAGGTCATGGAGCTCAGTCGGTCCAAGGCATCGAAGGTGAAACCGCATGGTGGGAGCGAAGTCGGTCCATATAATTAAAGGTATTTATATGTATTTATAAGGTTATGTTTATTTAAAGTATTTTTTGGATCTTTTTGGTGGGTGATCTGGGCATCCGGCTGTTTGCAAGCAAGTGTACATGGGCCGTGTTAGATGCACCTTCACACCCTCATCAGCCGTGGGTCCGGGATGGTCCTGGTCTCGTGAAACCCTCAACTGGCCATTCCAACTTTGAAGTCGCTCCCAGACACTCCATGGGACTGCCACAGGACTGCCGATCAGGCCAGGGTTGGTTGAAAAGGGGTCAATGTAGATATATATATATATATATATACCCATGGAGTGTCTGGGGATGATATAATATACTCTCCTGCAAACTAACATGGAATCCGAGAATTGACCGGTTGTTTCGACCATTTTCCTCTACAACCCGACGTGGTTTTGGGGTTCCATGTGGTCCTTTGCAGGGGAGTCAATGTTCTGAATGTTCTAACGGAGAAGCACCGAGGGACCGAGAGGGAACGGCTTTATCATAGATCTTCCGCAACGCGCCCGAGTGCTTGACCAGCTGGATCCGTTCCCCCCGAACGCCAGGTCTGGGTCTGCGTCTTCATGTCAGCCATTTGGAGATGTATTTGTGCCTATGCCAGCCTGGGGCTACCTGGAAGTATTGCATTCTTCCAGGCGGCACACATGTTTCTGGAGGGAAGATAATGGATCATGGCCACTCTCCCCTGCCACATGACGCTTCTAGGTTTGTAAGTAGGCTTCTAGTTGCCATGTCCTGCCAGGAATGTGCTGTATCCCACCCGGTTCTGGTCCTGCAACTCTTGGTTCATCTTCTTTCGGAGCTTTGCACGGCCGGCATCTGTCATCGGCGCCCCAGTGTCATCGATGAGCTCCTACCAAGCAAGTCATCAACTCCAATGGTTGGGGGCTTGGTTGGGGGGGAAACCAGGACCACGGCCCGGCGCGCGCCCCATCCGGATGCCAACAGGGCATTCCATGCTGCAGCCAAGAAAAACATTGGATTTTAAAAGTACGTCATGAGCTGCGCCAGACTGACATGAAGAAGACAAACAAAGGAATCAAACAACAAAGGCAATCAACAAAGGAACCGCAAGCAAGACATGTGCATCTTGGGAGGCCAGGCCTTTTTTTGGCGAGTCATATGATCCAGGAGCGGAAACGTGGATGTCAAGCCAGGATGTGCAAAAGATTGCAAACGGGGAGGGGGGGTCCTCACGTGTACATTGAGTAAGACTTTGTAAGACCATCCATGGGATGGGAATAGGGTGCTTAGACTGGTGCTTACTTACATGAATAGGCAATGTGCATGAGGTAAATGTATGTACAGTAACTATATTGTAACTAACTATTCCAATGTCATGGAGTCATGGAGCGTGGGGGGTTGAGTAAGACTTGATCGCAGTGAGGTCCAAGTACAGCTCCCAAACCGCTGTGGGGGTCCAAAAGACTCGCTTGAAGAAGCTGCAGATCACAGGTCGTCCACCAAGTGGGTGTTTTCTCCATGTTCTCCATGTACGCAGAAGGCTAAGGCAAGCATCCATGAAGGTCATGAGGTGATACGACATAATACAAGTAGGCCCTAGGGCTCCTGGCGCCCACCTCCGTTTCGAAAGGTGTTTTGGGGGGGGGGTCTAACCACCGAACCTGAGGATATGGGCCAGGAGCCCTAGGGATGCTTGTAACATGTTGCAACATCATAGTACGGATTCCTACTGCAAAGGACCATCCAATCAAACTATGTACACTCTGATCCACTAACATGGCCAACAGGCCCTTCGGAAGACCATATTGATCTATGAACACGGGGGTTTTCCATCGATAGTGAGTGGCCAAGTAACAGAAGCTCCACCTGGCACACAAGAGCATTATCTTCCAACCCTTGCAAAGCTTCAAGGCTATCAATTTCTGCATTGATCCTCAACCTCTCTCTCCCATGGATCCTCACGCCCGATCAACCGCCGGCCTCATCGATGCCCTCATCCTCTTCTCCACCGCTGCCTCCCACCTCCTCCGCTTCCAGATCGGCGAACTGACCTCGGACACCGCCCGACCACCGCGGAACGGCTCTGCTTGGTCGGCACCACGGGTCCCAAGCGCGGCTCTCGACGGCGAAGAAACCCCAAAAGGCGAAGCAAAACAGGGACACCAACAAAGCCTTGGCCGAAAAACATAGTAGGCCAAGTCTAAGGAACATTTCCCCTGATACCGTACCCCTGATAGACTACATAATCTCTTATTCATCAATCCTGAGCCTGGACTCATCAGTCAGTCCACGGCGGCCACCTTTTTGCACGCATAGTGGGCCAGCAACCCCCTCAGCTGCGGTCCGTGCGTCCATAAGGCAAAATGGGGCCGACATTCGCCGCCCATCAGATCTCCAGCGGGTCTCCCAGTGTTCAAACGAGCAGGGAGCTTTCCGCCTCAGCTTGGGGAAAGCACGAGGGCACTGGATCTGTTCCGCCAATGGCCTTCGCCGTAGCATCCACCCCATCACAAATCTTGTACCTAAGCTGATGGTGGATGTGCGAATGTGTCGTGTTCGCTGTTCCCGTTCGCTGATCTGTTCGCAGACATGCCGTGGTTTCGTATACAGCTATAATGGAAAGAACGTCATAGAATGACTCAAGAATATGGTTCCCCCACCCAATCCACTCTTCTGGCCGTGGCTCTCATCAAAGAACTTCTCCCGAAATGTGCACCAAATGCAACCAAAGGACCCTGCTAAACATTGAAAGGACGTACCATACCATACTGGATCTCCAATCTACTGAGATGTAGTTTTGCTTAATGGTGCTTAATTATTTTCCTTCATTTATCTTATAGGTGATTTTGAGCCACTGCCATCTCAATCGCTTCAAAATACTGAAGATTCTTCTTGTTCCCCTTCCAATTGATGACCTTCACCCCGTCGAAGGTGAGGTTCTGCATGGGGTAGGCCTTGTCGGCCAGGATCACGCCAGGTTGATTCTTGGGGTTGTCCACGGTGACCTGAGTCGGGACGTTCGTTAAAAAAAGGCTTACCAAAGCAAGGCAAGGCACTCAGAAAAATATGTTCACAATGTCCAACTGTTACATGGGGTATCATGGGCTTTACTTGATGAGACTTGAAGTTTCTTGTTCAATCCATCCTTTCTGCAAGATTAAAACAGTCGTTTCACTCGTGAACCTGGAGGACGGGGGGAACTCAAGCGCAATGGTATGGTTGGAGGCAGGACATCTCCGGAATCGTTGCTCTCCTCTGGTCGTCTTGGTCTGAGACTGGAACAGCTCCGCTCGTGTTCTGAAAGGGCTGATGAAACATAATGAAACTCCAATCACAGGAGAGTAACACAAAACAGAATAAAGCACATCTATACCCATCCAACGAGACTTTATTCTTAGAAAGGTGCAAAATATCCTCAAAAGGCGCCAGCAAATGCCAAACATCCACTGGGGCGGTGTGCGCAAGCGCAGTGGATCCACTTACAGTCTTACAGTGGTTTCAGAGTAGATGGCACAGCATCTAAGATGTCTTGTAGATGGGGTCCCATATAAACCACCTCTTGGGGATTGTGCCATTGGTCCTCTGAATCCACTGTATTTCAAAAGAAAACGACTCATGATCACTCATCCAAGCACCATGTTTCCATCAATCGTCCAAGTGCTCAAGGGCCGAGTGGCGTTCTTAATGAGGATGTTCCGGTAGAGGCCCCTCTGGGCCGCAGAACAAGTAGCTCCCGGCACCGCTGGCCAAAGCAATGAGCAAGGGTGGCCCTGCCAGAGAATGCTGGGGCGTGAAAGCAAGCGACATGTCCTCCGACTCAACTGGCACAGTCCGCCCAGTAGGGTTTAAAATGGCTTGAGCAACCCTTCTCAAACCTTTTTTTGTCTGTGTTGTCAGAACCTGCAGAACTGCGCCAAGGTGCAGTTCCAGTAGGCTCCACCAACCTCCCAACTCTTTACAAGCAACTTGCTAGCACGTCAACTTGTCTACCCTCCTAGACTCCGGAGGGTCCTAGACCAAGAAACTTCAAGATAACAATAAGAACAACGCACTGAATTGGGAAATGTACAGTAACGGAATTGGGAAACACTGATTTGTTACATCGGAACATATTTCACAAAATCTCCGACCTCGTCTTCGCCCCCCTGGGGAGATCGGAGCCCGGACCAAACCATGGATGTCCCAAACGATCTTCCATGGGAGTCGCATCCGCACCAGACCAACGATTGACCCCACATGACCCCACCCGAATCTTCCTGTGACCACGGCCATCACCCACCACACATCACCCGCCGAGCCTTCCAGAACTCCCTGGAGTCGGATTGTTGTGCTGGGCCGATCCAAATGGCCCATTGCTCCGGCTCCTTCATGTAGATATTCTCCTCAAGTGCAGGCGAGCGGTTTGGGCGGCACCACGAGCGGTTTTGGCGTATGGCTTCTAGAACGGTTTGGTTTTGGGGGCGGGGTGTCGGCGAAACGGCTCAGCTTCTTAGCGTGATGTGTGGGGCTAAGGTCGACCGTTGATTAAGAATCTAGAGCACCACCCAAATCTAGACTGATGCTTTGACATCTCCATGGGGGGGCGCTATCATATCTACGCTCCAACTCACTAACATGGAAGTGGATGGCACCCCTGTTTGTCTTCCTTTCGACACCTATATAACTCGTATAACTTCGTCTTAGTTTTGGTGCCATCTATGCGATATTTACACGGAGGTGTTCCAAAGCTAATATTGGTTGGAACTACTACCGTCTGGTACAGCTCAGATGACATCAGTTTCTCGTGGTTTGTTGCATGCAAGAAAGGTTCAACAAGAAAATACTTGATTGATCTTGTTTGCAAAGTGCATGAAACATATTCCAATGCAGTCCTTATGAGTTCAAACAGTGGAAAGCATAACAACCGAATCTGGTGTGGCCACGCCAGTTACTCTCTCATAGTTAATTTCTTCAGCATTTGTTCTCGATCGCCCCCCGAAGTTTTGCCCGTTTTTTGTCGACCACCTCTCCTGGTTTGATCCCCAGGAACTGCTTGGGGGGGTCTGGGCAGGTGCTACCAGAATGAGCCCCGATCCTATCGATTGAAATCATGATCAGAACGCTTGTTTCACACTCAGAACGCTGGCCAGGAACGTCAAGTCGCCTTCTTTCGGACATTTGCTTAGTACATCTTAGTACTGACAGGTTGACTAACTGGTGCTTAGTAGGGAATCGGAATACGGGAATGACCCCCCAACTAGTTATAGATACCTTGGGATCCAGCCACCCTCATTCCTTGCTAAGCACTGGGCACCAGTCAGTTGAGAGATGTTGAGAAGTCACAGGCAATATTCTCGAAGTAATACATTAATTATCATTAGAAAAATGAATTATAAGTTTTAGTTAGTTTTCAATTTTATTTTCGATGCTTAGCTGATGTTCACTGACCTTCCTATGTTTACGAGTCTTCGACTCGAGTTGTGCCCTTTTGTGCTTCGAAGACAAACACCGTGCGACCCGGGCGCATAGGTAATGTTCTCGATGATGGTCAGCTGTCCCTCGGGCGTGCCGTCACGAAACTTCATGTAGATGCCCTTGAAGGTCCGATCCATATAGACGTTCCTAGCGGCTCCGAGGCTCCGACATCAAGCGATGCAGCCAATAGGACAAGGACATGTCCAGCACACATGGATTCTACGTTGCAAAACAGCAACAGCACACAGCAAAGACACGACATGTCAATGTCCGTAAAAACCACAACGACCCGCGTTCGTTCCATTGGCACAGATGTCGGTGGCCTCCGACGGCAAAAAGAATGTCTGCCCTGCCAGGCGGCCGGAAGGTGATGTTGCTCACATGGTCGTTGCCACCCTCTGAGCCAATCGTCAGGCCCAGTCCGCTGGCCTAGTCCGGTGGCTCGAGTTCTGGTGCATGGGGTAGAGTGCAAGTTGGGGGAACTAGAGCGCCGGAAATGAAAAATGAAAGAACAAGGGATGGTCAGCGTCCGATAATATAAATGCAATTATGCAGGGTTGGCAGGATTTGGGCCAAGAGTATCCAAGAGTGTGTTTCAAAAAGGATCAAAAGGGTGTCCTTGGCTCCCTCCCATGCAACATCGGGGGATGGTGATCAACCATGCCATGCAAGTGGGGACATCTGGGAACAAGCGCGTGGCTCCACATGACATCACACGACCCAGCTGACCAGCTCTCATAATCAGCTACTTCGCGGTCTTTTTGTAGGCCTCGATGTTCTCGAAGAGCATGTTGCTGGAGGTGCCCTTCACTGTGAAGCAATCATCTTGATTCCAAACCTTACTGTGATGTACCCACCTGAGCGGTTCCGCTGTCAGCACTGTGTTGGGCCCACCGGAAACAAGCAATCGGGGGATTCCTCGCATGGTGAATAAGGAAGGTCTACCACTGGTGGAGAGAATAAGAAATAGGAAGACCAAGCTTGTTGGTAATTAGGCTTCCGTCTGTCTCTATATGATGTGCTCTCTAAAATGTTGAGGCCAACTCAAGTGACACGTCATATAGACCCCTAGAGCTAGCAGCGAGCAGCTGCAGCCCTGAGAGCAGTGATCACACATGCAGGCGACTGAGAGAAGCCGTGGTGAAAACCAAGTGTTGCTTCCCTGAAGCTTAGCCAAGGCGTGCTACATGAAGGAGTATGTTGGAATTGGAATATATATCCCCTCAAGAACATGGCTGACCATTGACCATGTTGTTGCTTTTCACATGTTAATACTAAATAATTCTTTCAACTGGGGGCTCGAGTAGAAATCGGTGAATGAGACCGAACCCCAATCAGAACGCAAGGTTAGGACTATCATGAAAATTAGACCCTAAACATAGATGCAGCATGCTGAGACCACGTGAATCTTTTCTACTTGCTCTGGCCCGGCTCAAATGGATTTGAATGAGTCAGCGATTCCAACAGTAAACATATGAAATGAACTGTGTAAAAATATTCTTTTCCGGAAACATGGCTACACTGGCGCGAGTGCCGTGCGAGTCTTTCCGAACCTGACGCGAGTGCCGCGCGAGTCGAGGTATCCAGCTACCCACGTCGAAAATATTCAAATCAGTTTGGTCACCTTCCCTCTAACCTGCATGGAAACAAAGCATCCAAACAATGGTGTTGAACTGATATTCTTAAAGCTTATTCCAATAAAGTTGATATCTTGCCTGCACCTAAACCGCATGTAAACGCAGCTAAACAATGTTGTTGACCTGACACTCTTCCAGTTATAGTGCCATCTTGCATCTAACCCCATTGTAAACGCAGCATCCAGACGACTTTCTAATTAGACCAGACGACTTAACACAAGTGCTAGTAGTCATGGATCCAATGAGCTCCGTAGAAGATACAAAATTACATCAAAGCACCTCTGAAATCCCACAAAAAGTTGTGAGCCGTTTTGGCTTCCTCCAACTTTCTGAAAGATCCTCCGCCACAGCCGAGACTCAATCCCAGCAAACCAAAGCAAATCTGTGGACTCCCTCTCAAGCGGTTCCACAGGGTTTGCCCGCCCCATGCCCTTTGAAACGTTATGGGCTTGTGATCCCAGGTCGTCTCTCTTCGGTTCGGATGCCAGGCTACACGTTGGTCCCTGAGATATCCCAGCCATCTGTGTTCAAAGCTCCAAGGTTGTAGACATCATGGCCTCGTCCGCAAAAGGCGCCACCGGCGTTGTGGAAGATCAGCCGAGTGGTGCGACAATCCCAGAAATGGATGAGGTGACACGTGTCGTTTCGTTACAGCTTTTCATAGCTCGGGGTCTCTGGCAACATGCCAATACCAACCCTGCCACATCTGACTTGGTTGATGGGTAACCTATGATATATTTTGGGAGAGGATCAAGTGCACATTCCAACGGATGCAATTCCTTCAACTGCTCATTCAAACAGCCAGTCACACATGAACGTCACACTCATGACTCATGCTCTGAAACATCTTAATCTCTCATAATCTCTCAAGAGCATGTCCCGACTTCATAAATTACACACTCATGTCCCTGTCACACATAATCCCTGCATGTCCCGACTTCTCCCGACTTCGGAAGTTCAGGCTTTTCGCCAACGACTCCATGATACTCCATGAATTTCCCCATCCTCCCAGGGCTTGTCCAACTGGGACGAGCAAGCCTTTCGATCCTCCCGACTCGCAACATCATGGGGCGAGTCAGGTGGCCCTTGTGCTTGGTCCTCTCGTTCAAAATGTCCGACTCCCGAATCTCCAGGCCATCCACCCCACCTGGGCAGCCACAGAGTGCGAGTGCGAGTGCGAGGCGATTTCATCCAGCTCCATGTTGAACCATTTTTCACCCACATGGAATCGAAGCGATGATTTGGATCGACGATGGTCCTCGTTTCATCTCGTTTCACCAGCGGTGCGATCGGCGACGAGCCTCGTTTCTTGCTCATCACCCTCGCTCGAAACTCGTCGTGGTCGGGACGGCTCGGGTCTCATGGCGTAGCGTAACTCATGGCGAACCGAACTACGAAGATACACCAGGGCCCCCGGATATAGGGGTGGTTCATGGACACCCCTTAACCTCTAAGGAGCCACTATTAGACACCCCTTAGGGGGCCTAGTACGAGTGGAACATCAATGTCCTCTGCCTGTGTCTCCGTGTTTCCGGACGTGCGATCTCCGTCCCACCGAGCGACCTACCTACCCCCCCGGGAGATCGCGGGGGGCTCTAACCAGCTTCCGAAGCTCACCGTCACCGTTATGTACGCCTCGGCACCGAAAGATGTCGTCCAGTAGGGCGCGTTCTTCAAGAACAAGCGCTCCACCAAGACATTCTTGATCTGTGACATCTCCCATAGCCGCGGGCGGTTCTCCTCATGGACCAAGTATCGGATGAAGCCCCACCATGCAGCGCCTGGTTTCGGGTGGGCTCGCAGTTTTTGGGGGGAATGCCTCATGTGTCAGAAGAGATGCTCACTTGGGCATGGATATTTCGCATGGGGTGAGTTTGAGAATGGAAGCTGTTTGTTTGAATGTTTATCCGGGGTCGCTTCGAAAGGCCCTCAAGGTGCTTGGTTTGCTTGTGGGTGTTTGCACGTTCTCATCTTAAAGGATATATTCTATGTGGGAGGCCTTCCAGAATGCCATATGCTTGCTGCACAACATGAGTGATGGAACAACATAGAATATATACACCAAGTCCCCCAAGGCACTGTTCAGGCAAAATCTTTTCGATATACTGCTGTACAGTATATCTTTCTCCTTACCCCCTCTCCACCTCCATTGCACCTCAAAGCTCACTGGACCCAGCTCCAGCCAGAATCCGACAACAAACTGCGACGCATATTATGCAAGAATAGCTGTAAAACCCTGACGCATCCTGACCCTAGCCAGAAAATGAGTTGCTAAAGCTCTTGTGGGTGTTACCCCCATAGACCCTCTATTCATAACCCCTCTAACTACTTTGGCCAGCCCCAGTGGGAAAAAGCATTTTTTTTCCTTCCATCTTCTCATCCTTCCTGATTGAATCTTCAACCTCATAGGTGTTCATGTTCTGTTCTTCTGGCAGCTCATTCGCCTGCAATTCTTGGGCCTCATTGACAACCTTATGGGCCAATTCCTGCAGCTTCCTGCAGCTCGTTCTCCTCATGAAGAGATTTCGTCTTTGGGATCCCTCCTCGTTGCTCCACATTAAAACTTACTTCCTAGGAGCTTCCAACCTTCGGGGAGTGTTTGGTTCACCATGTGGACCATATGTGGCAATGCATGAAGGCGCAAGTCGCAAGTAGTCTCGGAACCTTTGTCAACCAAAAATTTAAGGATCCCAAAGAATACTTCAAGAAATGAGAAATGAGATAGAGCCTCTGGAAGCTGCTCTAAGACCCTAAGGCTGGTAATTATCCACTTGAAACTGAACCATGGATGATCCGGAAACATGATGAACCAATATGAACCATGCATCTCCTTTGAAACCTGTGTCCACCTATCCTCTTCGTCTTTTTCGTTCAACCAATGGCCCTCCCTGCCGTTCCGCTACATCGGGTCGACCGTCTACGCCAACCCGCCGGACGCCGCCCGACCGCCTTGCCCATCGAGGGTCCCGCGGCCGGCCGATGTGAAGGTCACGTTGACGAGGTTCTCGAAGCGCATGCAGGCCAAGACACCACCTGGGCGCCCGACGCCGTCCAAGGGCGACGGTCCAGGACGGCGGAGGACGTAGGAATTGGTGACGATGTGTTTGGAGAGGTGATCTGGGGGTCAGTGTTTCTTGAGCACTAAAAACGGGTGCGAGCTTTTTCAAAAAAAAACGTTGTCCAGTTTTGTGGTCTTGGTGTGGATGCCTTCGGATTTTTTTGCGGTAGGTTTTCATCTGAATGAGCAAATGCCCAGCCAATCGGTTCGACGCAGTCTCTAGCAAAGACTCACACGCATGCAACCATCCACTGGAACTGTTGAATGGGTACATCACCCACCCAGGAGGAAAACAGAAACACCAAGTTCGGACTCAGTATAGCCGCAAAAAATAGCGGCACGCCCCTAATGAGCCCCCACTCGAAGCACAGGAGAACAAACCAACTTAGATACAAAACTTAGCATCTCAAGACGCCCCAGCCCCCCCCCCCCCGGTCCCCAGACGCCTTCACCCCCCAAAAGACCCGGTCCCTCGCTCGGCCTGTGGCCGTCCGGGGCCAGTCTTTGGTGCGCTCCGAGAAGACCAACGTGCCGTCCAGCCTTGAGCGGTGGGGGACCACGGAGCGTGCGCCGCGGAAAAGACACCACCTGATCCGAAGCAAAACGGCCGAGGTGGCATGTGGTCTCTTTGGTCGTTCGGTTCGCCCCATTTTGGTTTCGATGGGTTCACAAGGGTCGCAGGGGACTAGTCTTTCGCATGGGATTTCCTGCCTTCCAAGCAGAAGACTTTCTACCCATCGATCCTGAGATGTCCAGCGGTTTTCAGTCCCAAACAACCCAACCAACTCAGGAGATGAAAAACGAGGCGAAGAAGAGTCAAACTGAGGGTAACTTATAGAACGACATCGACTTAGGACACTTCCAGTGACGTTTCCTAGACTAGGAAACCATTATTACTTAGGATTACTTAGGATATCTTAAGATATTACCTAGGAAATCGTCGTCTTCGTTGCCTACTGGCACAATTGTAGCAACGAAAATGGAGAATCATGAGCTTCAGCTTTGCTCAGCTCTGTGAGCATCTAATCTAGCAGTGATGCCACATGACATAACACCGCTGGCGCGGTGTTGAACCCTTCGCCACCATGTTCAGAATAATGCTCACCAGTTTACCCAAGAGCACTCCCAAGAGCATATCATAGGAAAGAACCTTTTGCAATGTTGAACCTTGCAGCCAGGACATGCCAGGACGGCCCAACAAACTCAAAGACCTGGCAACATTGTAGCATTCTGGCAAGACCTCGTGAACGACCCCCTGACAAACCCATGGCCTGGCTGGGCATCGCGTCACACTGATCAATCGCTCGGGGACCATTTTCAGAAGCCGAAAAATGAAACGCTTCAACTTTGTGGCTCGGATGCAGGGGGATGGACCTAGTCTAGTCTAGAGAGTCTAGGGCTGCAAACCCCCTACCAGTTCCGAACATGGAGCCATCTGGAACCACAAAACACGATGAGGTATGGGATCCCCAGATTGAAGGACCCTGCCCTTATTACTTGAGCCCATTTTGGAGAGGGGTATATACATTTGATCCGGCGATCCGATGATCAGTATCCGCCATCATGCCAAAGTGGCTGGATCACAACATCGGACAAATTCCTCGCCTCCAAGGATACATGTTCAAGGGTTGCTCGTGGATCAGGAGTCACAAAGGGGCGGGGTGCCTATTGGAAGTTAGGGGTGCCCATTATCCACTCAGTTAGGCCGGGACTAAACACCACCCCTGTGCGACCCCTTGGGATATGTAATTCAAATAGTCAGACCGTAGCCCTGGTCCGCAAATTCCTCGAGACGGCCTTCTCCCACAAAAACGCCCTTCACAGTGTCATCTCTTCTTGATCATATTTCTTCATTGTTTTTTGTTTGCCTTTTTGCGGTCGTATTCCTTATGCAGGAATATGCCTTGACAGCCCTTACAAATACTTACAAAAGAGTCGTGGATCCTGCCTGGATGCCGCCCATGACATGAAAGCGCTTGGCCGGGATCAGCAGTCGATCACCCGGCTGCATCTGTGCAAAGGACTCATTCAGCTTTTGCCCGTTGAAGCGCTCAGTGGCCTCGCTGGCATCCTCTGGTTTGGCGCCCAGGTCCTTCTCCAAGTCGATGACCCGCGCGGCGCTCAAACACGCGAGGAGCGCCAGTGGATGGAGTGCGCGGAAGATCGCCATGGCGGGTGAACTCGAATGAACGACTTGAGCCCAGTGGACCAGCAAGCAGGACCTTGTAACCAGAAAACCAGCACTGAATATCCACATCCCAAACGATCAAACAGGAACAGCACCCCCTTGGTCCCCTGGATCCATGAAAGGACAGCACTTGGTCCCGGTCACCTGCCGTCCCGAGGTCCGCATCCATCCAGCGCCCAGCCGAAGAGACACGCAGGTCCGCACGAGCCGTTCACTCCCGAGGGGCTCAAGTCCTTCCGCTTCCTCTTCCTGGCAGCTGGGTGCAGGAACTCGAAACATCAACCAAAGCACACGGAAAAGCACACAGAAAAGCCACGTGAAGCTACGCGTCACCACAAGTCAATAACATGATCTCAACATGTGAGTTTTCTGAAAAGGGAGTGCAATTGTGCATCTGCAGAATTCCAGGCTTCCTGTTCTCCTCCGCGGGCGCAGCCGGGGCTGCTGCCGCGCTCGGGGAGGGTTCTGGTGTGGTGGGATCCGACGCCAGCGCAGGGGAAGCGGACGCCATGGCAGGTGAGGCGCTCTCCATGGCTGAGCAAGTTGGCTTTTCAGTTGGGTTGAGAAGCCCAACAAATAAGGTTGGACCATCCAGAAATCACCTCAGGGTGGCCTGGAGCGCCCTGTATTCCTGAATCGGAGGGAGAATGGTCAACTATGGTCCTGTCACACAGGCCTGATGGGCTTGGTGGATTCGTCGAACACACACAAGTCCGTCATGTTCTCACACCGTCCGTCCTGTGGAGTGGCTAGGGTGGGCAGTGTGCTCGTCCCGTGCTCAACTAGCATGTTCTGCTTCATGTAGTGCTCCAGACAGGTAGTGTAGTGCTGGTGATGATCTGCCCCACTTCTCGCCTCTTGAGGGTGGCAGCGGGATAAGCAAATCAGCAAAATCACCAAAAAAAAGAACATCAACTCAAACGTACCCTACTGAAAAGTAACATGGAGCCTGAAAACCACTGCTTTGTAGAGGAAAACAGCCTCTCAGGGTGCCATTCTCCGGGTTCATGATAGTTTTCGGGAGCGTATCACGTATTTGCCATGGTCAAGATCTCCTATTGGGGTTGTCTGCCAGTTCCCGCCAAATGTAGGTAGGTGACCATCACTTGGTGTTGCACTAGAGCCAAGTGACAAAACATCGCCACCAGTTAGTTCCAACATGAACCACAACAATTTCATGTTCATCCCCCAAAAAGGGCCACGAACTGCTGCAGGTGGCGGTTTTGGCTCGCAAGCCGCCATGGGGGTCTAAGACTGGGAAGGTTCTGGCTTTAGGACCCCAAATATTGATTCAACAACGTATATATATATATACATATATTATATATATATATGTATATCTATAAATTATGTGTGTGTGCGTGTATGTTTTTTCTAAATAAGATCTCAAGCAGCATGTACAGTATATAAGTCTGTATAAGCGTTATTGTCCTAAGGTCACTTTGGTCGGGGCGACTCACCGCCTGAGTACCATCCTTGACGTTTACTTAGACTTCGAGCCCGTCAGAAGCGCAGCCCGCCAGCAATCCCCCTGCCATCCCCTGCCTAGGCCTAGAGTGCCAAAGCCTCGCCCCAATAGAACAAACACCTTAATTTCTGGCACGGAGGCTTTGCAGTGAGTGGAGCCTCTTTTTTTTGGAGAGCGCTCAGTAGGGCACCCGCACTGTGCGCAAGTGAGTGACAAGGTGGTAGAAAGTGGAAGCAAGGGGCATCCACAGGCCCCCCCCTGTGACCGCATCATTTACTCTTCGGGTCTCCTCCATTGGCGTCACTCGCCCCAAATAGTATTCACAGGGCTGCTAGGGAAAATCATGCGCGCAAAAGTGGTCGTCTTTACATGTCTTTACTATGTACATTGTTACATGTCGCTTCCCAAAACAAATTTGGCACCAAGATCAAGAAATTGCTAGTTAATGGCATGAAGGAATGTGGGATCCACGTGTATATAATATAATATAACATGTATGCACGTAGCATAAGTCTACATACTAAATAAGGAGCACAGGAGGCAGCCTACCAGGAATGAACTTCGCGGCGTTGGACGATGATGAAGAAAGGCAGGTCAAAGGCATTTCAAATGACTCGGTCGCGGCCCCAAATTATCAAATCACAGGGGGCTGACAGTAATCTTGTGCTGCCACCTCACCTCCCGAAGTTTCTTTTGTATATGATTGTGTATGTACACCCAGAAAATGAACATGGAACCTGAAAACCACTTGGTTGTAGAGGAAAATAGTCTTCCAAGACCTTCCGAAGGTCCATTTTCAGGTTCCATGTTCATCTTCCCAGGTGTATCTACTAGGTTGACCTAGGTTCATGGACAATATGTGACGATGGGAACATGCGAGGAATGTGATCACTTCGCTGGTCCTGATGGCAACATCCATGTTGGAGGGCATTACATGGAGACTTGATATATCAATTCCATCCTGCAACCAATTTCAACGAATGCTTACGTCATCAAAGGCATGACTCACATTGTCAACTGTGTAGCACCAGTCCACGAGCCGAAAAAGGTTTATAGGATCTGATTCCCATCTTTGATCGGGTTTCAGGGACGGGACAGAACGCGCGTGCGGAACGGCAACAGGATCATGAGCCGAAACGCTTAGGTTAGCACACCGCTCGATCTCCAACGTAGCACATCAGTCTCGGCGCCGGTGAGACGAGACTTCAGTGAGCACATAACAGTACGGTGCTGGGAACTCTGGGGCCCTTGGGCCCCCTCACCTCAACTTCGCAAGAACCCCCCCAACTTCTGGAAAATCCCTGGAGCCTGTGACCCACACGAGAACTCCAGCAGAACGACCTGATCTCAGACCGGACCCAATGGACCCTCACGATCGACACGCGGACCGCCGACCGGTGCGTCCAAGGGCACGCCAGCACCGGCAAGCCGAGGCCTAATTGGAAGAGGGCTGGGCCTCAGCGCGTCGCGCAGGTTAGTCGCATGCGAGTCCGGAGCGAGTGGCGCCACCGCGGCGGCGGTTGGGGGTCCCAAGCACAAGGATCGAGAGTGACGGGTATGTTAGTGCATATGCATGCAGATGTTGGGAAGTTCTGCATTCATCCAGTGACACTGATGAGGACATGGGCAACAGTGTCGGTAGCTATTTAACTCACATATTTATCGAACCCCACTGCCAAGGCCCCCCACACACACACCATGTATAGTTTAACAAAGTATATATAATAAGAAAAACTATGCCATATATGATGCTGTTTGCTAAAAACATTATTACATATTATTTGAATATAATATATATATACACTATGTACAACTATGTCACTATATACTGTATACAAATGCACCTCTTCCCAACTGGCATCTGGCTTGTCATCTCTCTGGCCATTCACTTCGTTCATTTAACACTTTAATCAGCTCAAGGAGCGGCCGTATCAGCAGGCATCTTTTCACTGATCTCACCCAGTGGCTGTGAAGGATCAAAAGGCCGTGGTAGAAGGCCTGCGCTTTGGCACGTTTCAGGGAGGCAGTTATGGCATGTTGGGCGGACTGCTTGGTGGACTCAGTGGGCCTCACTGAACTCAGACCCTTGGAGCAGGACGACCAAGCCACAAATCATTGCAGGTGCCCTTGTGCGTTTTTCACCCAATCCAACCGTGCCATCTAGCTTGCCTGCCTTGCTTGAAAGTGGTGGCTTGGCACTCTGCAGTTGGAAGGCTGTTTTGTAGTCCCTTGTGGTGACTGAAGGGACCAATGGCAACCACCCACTCCAAGTGCGCCGAAACTGACACGTCACGACCGGTCGGCGTTGTCGGTCGGGACTGGTTATCCCAGGTCGACACAAGGTCTTACACGCATGGTCGACTGCAGCATGTCAACAAACACTGGAAAATACGACCGGCTCCGAACTCTATGTTGGAATCTCTCCCTATATCTCTGTGTGTGTTAATGATTGTTAATGGTCCTGCTGGCTTCTGGATAGACCTGCTACACCACGAGTGCCCCCGCAGAACCTGCCATCCTGACCACAGCCATCGAGTGGAGTATGCCATCCTGGCCATGTATGGCCTACAAGTCCAGGTCAGCAAGGTGGATCAGGTGATGACCATGGTGGATTTGCTTCATCCCTCTCCCCTTCGATGCCAAACCGCCCATGAGAACCCAGCGTTCCCATCCGCCCAATCTGGTGGGCCCCCACTGTGGCAAGGAGTGCCGGAAGCACCTGACAGTAACATGAACATCTGCTAGTGCATTCCTAGCCAGATGCACTCTTGAGCAACGAGCAGGACCCAGGAACTAACAAGCCGGAGAATGTGTAAACTGCGCTAGAAAATAATGACAAACGATAGATAGAGTTCAATTTATTAGCAGCTGGGTTGTTGATCAGACCTCCAAACGCGATCCAGTTCAAGCCAGAACGATGCCGTGAAGAACGGAGAACATAGGAGAACTAAGAGGAGCACAGAATGAGCAAAGAAGAGCAATGTCTTTTCTAACTTTGACTCCGATGCTTAGAGCATCGGATTTGCCCACTAAAAATTTGGGCTGTGTTACTTGCAAAGCGCTGCCATGCTGGTGAGGCAACAATCTGCTTGGAGGACCATCCCAGTATAGGTTTGGAAGGCTTCCGAAGCATGCTGAATCTCCAGTCACCTGGAGCATTGCAAATAAATACGGGAACCCCCCCAAATTGCTCGGCTCATTGACTCAATGGCCTTTGAATCATGTGCCTGCAGCGTTCGGAGCGTCACAGCCGGAACATCCGGCTCGACCAGGGCCCCCTGCGACCGCCGGCGAGAGGTTGCCGACCTTGGCAGGAGAGCGGAGGAGACGTGTGTGGCTTGGGGAACCCAGGTGCTTGGTCTATACGCCCCTGCAAGTGAACATCAAAACCGCTGGGTTGTAGAGGACAATGGTTGAAACCACGGGCCAAGTCTGTTCATCCGCAGGGGGTTGGTCAGAATCATGCTTGGTCAGAATCCTGGGCTCAGCATGGTTCAGTTCAAAACGGGCCGTT